AGAAAAGCTGTAAGCGCGCCTTGCAGTCCTCTCTGTTCTTCACTAGGCATAAATCAACCACCCCCACCCCCACATGGTCTGGTGAGCTGTGGTTCACGCTAAATGTTTACATTCGTAGAGCCGGGTTTAGTGACGGCTATTAGGGACAGACAATTTAGTTTGAAACTATTTTAAACTTAGGGGAGGGGGGTAATTAAGAGGAAGCTGTTTGACGGGGGGGGGGGGTGTAGGGTAGGGGTTGGGAGAAAGGAGGGTGGGGGTGGGGGGGGGGGGTTATCGTCCTTAACAGCCTACTGATAGTGTTTTAAAGCAAATATTTTCAGTGACAGCATTGATACTGTCAAATTCACAAATTATGAATTACTAAAAAGTAGAAAATAAAACAACTAAGTAGCGGCAAATGGAGACCATACAAAAACACCACGCAGCTTCGCCACCTTCCTCATCCCCACCTGTCAGGTGAGCTGTGGTTCACCCCAAATGTTCACAATAGTAGAGACGGTTCCAATAATTGACGGCTATCAGGGGCAGATAATTTAGTTTTTAAATTATTTGAAACTAAGGGGAGATAACAAGTTCTGCTTGATATTTCCATTGTCGTCTGTAAACTCTCGTCACGGAAGGCTGCTTTATTGGGGGGGGGGGGGGGAGGCATGTGAAACAGTGTGTACCTGCAGCAGTGTGTACCTCAGTCGCTCCTGTGTCCTCAGTTGCTTTGGTATCTCCTACAGTCGTCTGAGCTACGTTTGTCCCCGAAGCATTGTTTTGATTTTGCCCCTTTGTTTCCTAACAATGGCCACCGCTTCAAATATATTTCGTGGAGTCAACAGGTCTTTCCATGTAGTCAAAATTCCTTCATCAGGTAATTGTTTATTCCTATCAGTCGCGTATTTCTGGAAAAATGTCGTCGACGAAACTGTTGCTCTCGAACTTCGCAAGATGGCTGTAAGCTTTGTTTGCGAACATTGGGACAACTATGGCGACGCCCTGTCCGTTGTTCTTACTCACGGGAGCACAGTCATACACTCTGCTCAACAATACGCTGCCTACATGAATACTTCCGGCGTTTATGGTGGCGAGGCTGAAATTGTGGCGACGTCACAAATACTTCCTGCTACTATCGCTATTTACTTTCGAGAACGTCCACATGACCCTCCTCGAGTTTACAATCCGGGTCAATGTCTCTCCATATCCCTGCTATTTAGCGGTCCTTTGGATCATGGCCATTACGAAGTTCTCTTGCCTTTCACAAACACACGTGATGACCTTCTGGTGCCATCTGTTGACAACGTTTACAAACGCCGGGTTTTCATTGCAACATTTGCTCAAAACAGTTCACACGAAAAAATAATCTTAAAGCACATTTAGAAACACACTCCAGTCAACAAACGCATTCCACAGAGGACTTTAAATGCACCATTTGTTCCAAAACCTTTCGACTAGAGAAATATCTCAAAGCACATTTAAAAACGCACTCCACTGAACGAATGATGCAAAGTGAATATTGCCAGCAGTGCTTCAAAACAACTCGCACTCTTATGAAGCACTTACAAACTAAACATGTACATGTAGAAACACATTCAACAACATTTCTTTGCAGCATCTGCGACAAACAGTTTCTCGCACGCAAATATCTTATTAAACATCTGATGAAATCCTTCTTTGAGTGTGTACATTGCAAACGTTCTTTCAAACAGTCGCATCTTCTCGCAAGACACATGCACATTCATCACATTCAACTTTCCGCTGCGTTTCAAGAACACACTGCCCTTTCCGTCTAAGAACATGACATTGGACTACCTACCGCACTATGTACTTCTTGCAATGCTCTTCATTGGCCATCAGAGGTAAACAAATCAGGACACTACACTAAGTGTTGTCATAGCGGCAAAGTGTCTTTGCCACCGCTATCCCAAACTCCTCCTTTATTACAAAACCTCTTGAGTGGCAAGAATCCGCTGTCCCGACATTTCTGTGATCATATAAGGGAATACAACTCTGCTTTAGCTTTCGCATCAATGGGCGCCCACATAACTCAACCACCTGGCCATGGACCATATGCTTTCCGAATCCACGGTCAAATTTATCATCAAGTCAGTCCTTTGTACACCAATCCTAACACGACCCCTCGATACGGTCAACTATATATCTTCGATTCTGCTGAGGCTTCCACTCAACGTTTGCAAAATGATTGTAACAGTACTTGCAGTAGATTGTTGTTGTTGCAAATAGACACAATGATACGACAGGTTTACCCCTTCGCTAAATCGTACATGCAAAAGCACGACATTATCACTCATAGTAACCCTGTTTCTTCATTACGAATGGTATTCATGGAAAATCCAACCCTGGACATGAGAAGGTACAACGCACCCTCCTGTCAAACTGATGTTGTTGCTATCTTTGTAGGTAAAGACGGGGAACCTCCTGCACAACGCGATATTTGTATATATCCAAGAGGAGATGCCTGCAAGCGTATCTCTGTACTCAATATGAACTGTGACCCCATGGTTTATCCACTGCTATTTCCTTACAGAGATCCAGGCTGGCACATACAATTGGCCCATGTTGAAGAAAAGCGAACCGCAAACAGAACCAGAGTCACACAACTCCAATTTTATGCCTACAGGCTTGCCATGAGCTCTGCATTCAGCATCTTGCATTCCAGCGGCAAACTGTTCCAGCAATATGTAGTCGACGCATATGTCAGAACAGAAGGCGCGCGTTTACATTACCTACGCTCCCATCAAGAAGATTTGCGCGTAGAACAATACAGGGGACTGATTGTTGCTATCGCTGCGAAAGCACAAGGCAATAACATTCACCCTGGACAGTTGATAATTCTTCCCTCTACATTCCAAGGCAGTCCACGGTACATGCAAAAGAACTACCAAGACGCGATGGCGATTGTCCGCAAATGTGGCAAGCCTGACTTATTCCTAACATTCACCTGCAATCCTGCTTGGCCGGAAATCTCTAACGCCATTTCCCATGTCGTTGCCCGCGTCTTTCATATCAAACTGCGGGAGTTCCTAACTGACATTTGGAGAGGAATATTTTCGACAATGTAGTCGCATACATTTTCGTCATTGAGTTCCAAAAACGAGGCTTGCCTCATTGCCATATGTTACTGACACTTGATTCACAGTGCAAAATAAGGACCAAAGATGACATAGACAAATATGTCTGCGCTGAGCTTCCAAATCCCGAAATACACCCTCGACCTTTCCAAATTGTCACTAAATGCATGGTACATGGTCCGTGTGGCACGCTCAATGCCAGCTCATCTTGCATGAAAGACGGCAAGTGCAACAAAAATTTCCCATAGGACTTCAACGCCGAGACTCAAGAAAACACACAAGGGTACCCCATATACCGCCGAAGGCAGGGCACAACTGCCATTGTTGGTAAACACGACATCGACAATCGTTGGATAGTACCTTACCATCCCTGGCTTTCTCAGAAATTCAATGCTCATATTAACGTTGAAGTGTGCGCGTCCGTTCAATGTATCAAGTATCTATATAAGTACGTCTACAAAGGACACGACGCTGCATCCATTGCACTTCAGAAGGAGCCGGCCGATGGTGTTTTCCAACATGACGAAATACAAACTTTCCTTGATGCTAGGTATGTTAGTGCTCCGGAGGCTATGTGGCGTTTGAACGAGTACAGTCTTTCAGAAAAATTTCACGTTATTACACGATTACCAGTTCATTTGCCAGAACAACAAGTCGTCTTCTTTTATGAGGGTCAGGAAGAACGAGCACTACAAAGACAGGCCAACAAAAACACCATGCTCTTAGCTTGGTTTGAACTCAATACAACCGATCCTGAAGCTGTGGAGTTACATTACACTGATGTTCCCCAACATTACACATTCCAACAATCCTCTGGAAAATGGCAAAAAGAATTAGAGGAGGTGCAAAGGTGATTGGTAGAATGCCTGTTGTTGCCATTCACGACACCGAACGTTATTACCTTAGGCTTCTCCTTACCCGTTCCGTAAGCATCACGAGTTTCAAGCATCTACGAACTGTCAACGGCGTGGAATGTAAAACTTTCAAAGAGGCGTGCCAACTATTGGGTCTTCTTAAAGACGAGAAGATATGGCATGATACACTTATAGAGGCATCTGAGATACGAATGCCAGCGTTTTTGCGACAACTTTTTGTTTTCATCTCTGTCTTCGGCAAACCACAAAACGTTCCACACCTTTGGGACACGCATTAACTCTCCTTTCGGAGGACTTTCTCAGAACATATTCCACACGCACAGCTTGCATGCATGCTCTAGCAGAAATAAATGACATGCTTCAACCACATGGCCTCAACCTGCACAAATTACACCTACCCCTCACTGACATTCTTCCGATGTGTCATTCATCTTCCGTCTTCGATGCTCAAGCTGAACACTCCCACTCTATGGATTACTACGACAAACTCAACACAGAACAAAAGCACGCTGTTGACACTGTTTTGGACGCTGCATCCACAGACTCCCGACCGCGACAAACCTGCTTCTTCTTAGATGGTCCGACAGGAACAGGGAAAACCTTTGTCTATAAAACTCTGATCCATACCATCAGAGCCAGGGGAGACTTTCCTATAACCGTTGCATCTACAGGAATAGCTGCAACATCGTTACCGGGTGGACGTACTGCACATTCGGTATTTAAAATCCCGTTGAAGCTCACTCCTACTTCCACATGCAATATCAAACCTATCTCGCAACACGCGCAACATATTCTGCAATCCAAATTGATTATATGGGACGAGGCGCCAATGACACATGCATAAGCATTTCAGGCAGTTGACAGGTTGTTACGTGATCTCACAGGTGAGACGCACCCATTTGGAGGGAAAACAATTCTATTGGGTGGAGATTTCAAACAAATACTCCCCGTCATTCTGCGTGGCTCCCGAGCACTTACTGTCGCCAGTTGCATTAACAAGCAACCTTTGTGGCGTCACATGCACGTACTTACACTGACGACACATATGAGAGCTCTTCCTGACGAACAGCATTTTGCAAAATGGCTTCTCGATGTTGGAGACGGGACAATTGGAACACCTGTAACATTACCGTCACATTCTTTCCCTCTTCATTCTGATCCCGTTCAATTACTATATGACGACATCGACTTCTCCACTGTCACTTCGGAACAACTCAGTACACGAGCTATTTTAAGTGTCACGAACGAAGACTCCCTGCACCTGAATGAACAAGTATTGAAACTTATCCCAACCGACGAAGTAACTTTCACCAGCGTTGACTCCAACGTCACAGACGATCCCGCAGATGAACTTTCCTTCCCCGTAGAATTTCTTAACAGTCTTACCCCTACTGGCATGCCTTCGCATAAACTCAAAATTAAAATTGGTTCAGTTGTCATGCTTCTTAGAAACCTCATGCCAGCAAGAGTTCTCTGTAATGGCACTAGACTGACTGTTACCAGCATTCACCGCAACGTACTGGAGTGTAAAACTATCGCAGCTGCTACCTCGCAAACTGTCCTTATTCCACGGATATCATTGACTCCATCAGATTCAAATTAGCCTTTCACCTTTACGCGCAGACAATTTCCTGTCAGATTAGTCTTTGCCATGCCAATTAATAAAGCACAGGGCCAAACATTCAAAAAGATATGCCTGTATCTTCCAAAACCTGTTTTCACGCATGGATAATTATATGTTGCTCTCTCAAGAGTTACTTCCTATCATTCTCTCACAGTAGTTTGCCCAAACCCACCCTTTTTGGACAACTGTGTCTATCGGGAAGTCTTGGGTCACTAAATAGCGGCGTATTTTACTCCGCGGGTCGACTGGTATACATAATTCTCTTCATGTGGGACATAGAAAACACCACGCAGCTTAGCCACCACCCTCATAAGTGACAGCTATTAGGGGCAGATAGTTTAGTTTTTAAACGATTTGAAACTAAGAGGAGATAATAAGCTCTGCTTGATATTTTCATTATCCTTTGTAAACGGCTGCTTTCACAAGGCGGGGTGGGGGTGGAGTGGGGGAGGTAGTGGGTGGGGTATTGTCGAATTCACAAATTATGAATTGTTGATAAGCAGAAAATAAAACAACTAGATAGCGGCGTATGCTACGTCGCGGGTCAGCTCGTACGATATACTTTGCCTAAACGAAGTGGTGAAGTGGTAGGGTGTTTAAATTCTAGTCTGAATGTCTCAGGGTTGTTTCGAAGGAATAATTATATCCAGATCAGATATGTTGAGTCGTACAAAAATTTCAGAAAAAAAACGTTTTAATAACAACCTTTTATGTAATAATGCCCTAAAAAAAGAGAAAATTATAAAGAAAAGCGTGGGTCACTTAAGTATCTTAAGAATACCTTTACTAATATTTAGGAAGAGACCCACGCTTTTCTTTATAATTATTTAAACAGTAGTGTATAATTTATTTTCTCCTTTCTATGGCATTATTACACAAAAGCTTGTTATTAAAACGTTTTTTTTATGAATTTTTAAAGTACTTTACATGTTTTTATTACAAGCTTTTATTTAACTCACTTCCTCTGTCTCTCGTCAGACGTCAGTCTGTCTAGATCGAAACGCCGGTGCGAAATTGCAGGCACTTCTACCTGACAGATACGGTTCGTAGTACTTTACATGTTTTTATTTACAATAGAGTTACATGACTAAAAACCATTGCGCACCTATTGAACGTGATGAAACTTTAGTATCTATTGAATACCTTTACTAATATTTAGTAAGAGAACCACGCTTTTCTTTATAGTTATTTAAATAGTAGTGTGTAATTTATTTTCTCCTTTTTAGTGCATTATTACATAAAAGCTTGTTATTAAAACTTTTTTTTACAATAGAGTTACATGACTAAAAACCATTGCGCATTTATTGAACGTGATGACGCGCTATTGAACGTGATGACGCGTGTGGAATATTTGGATAGAACTGCCTACTAATTTGGTCAAAATTTTAATTAATTCATAAAAAATTAATTAGGCATCCAATTAAGTCAAATTTAATTTCATTTGCATTGTCTTCATGTCTTGACCCACGTACCGACTACGAACCGTATCTGTCAGTTAGAATTGCCGACTGACGACAGACAGAGGAAGTGAGTTAAATAAAAGCTTGTAAAAAAATTCCATAAAACATGTTTTAATAACAAGTTATTTTATGTAATAATGCACTAAAAAGGAGAAAATAAATTATACGCTACTATTTAAATAACTGTAAAGAATAGCGTGGGTCACTTTAGTATTTATTGGATACCTTTACTAATATTTAGGAAGAGACCCACGCCTTTCTTTATATTGTGCTAGTACCACAATTCTCTCTCGTCTAGAGGTAGATGGGCTTTATGCTAGTACGAAGATTCTCTCGACTGTTTGAGGCAGATGGGCTTTATGCTAGTACGAAGATTCTCTCGACTGTTTGAGGCAGATGGGCTTTATGCTAGTACGAAGATTCTCTCGACTGTTTAGAGGCGGATGGGATTTATGCTAGTACCCCGATGATCTTAATTCTAGAGGCGGGTTTTGCATTATGCTAGTACCTCGTTTCTCTCTTCTGTCTAGATGCGGGTGGGCTTTGTGCTAGTACGAAGATTCTCTTTTTACTTTCTCGTATATACGAAGTATAGAGAAAGTATTGTAATCGTGCAAAAATAAAATCGAGATTTTTACAGATCTCGACGTTTTACACCCCACTGATGCGGAAAAAACATAATTTTGCAATCTTGTCCGTATGTCTGTGTGTGTGTGTGTCTGTGTGTCTGTGTGTCTGTGTGTTCGTGTGTAAACACGATAACTTGAGTACTGTTACAGCTAGGTTGATGACATTTCACATATAAGTATTATATCAAAATCGTAGATCCGTATCAACTTTTGAGCGATTTCCGATAACCGGAAGTGGTACTTTTCCTACTTTGAATTTTTCAAAAGCCTATAACTTGAGTACTATTTCAGATAGATAAATGAAATTTCACATGTAAGTAAAAGATCTAATTCTCTTCGTTCTGTTAAATTTTGAGTAATTTCTCAAAAACGCATCTAAATTTATAATGTACTAATAATATTGCGCATTATTATGAACATCTTTATTCGGCGTTCGCTTGGTGTCTAATACTTTTTACTTTCTCGTATATACGAAGTATAGAGAAAGTATTGTAATCGTGCAAAAAAAATCGAGATTTTTACAGATCTCGACGTTTTACACCCCACTGATGCGGAAAAACATAATTTTGCAATCTTGTCCGTATGTCTGTGTGTGTGTGTGTCTGTGTGTCTGTGTGTCTGTGTGTTCGTGTGTAAACACGATAACTTGAGTACTGTTACAGCTAGGTTGATGACATTTCACATATAAGTATTATATCAAAATCGTAGATCCGTATCAACTTTTGAGCGATTTCCGATAACCGGAAGTGGTACTTTTCCTACTTTGAATTTTTCAAAAGCCTATAACTTGAGTACTATTTCAGATAGATAAATGAAATTTCACATGTAAGTAAAAGATCTAATTCTCTTCGTTCTGTTAAATTTTGAGTAATTTCTCAAAAACGCATCTAAATTTATAATGTACTAATAATATTGCGCATTATTATGAACATCTTTATTCGGCGTTCGCTTGGTGTGCAATACTTTTTACTTTCTCGTATATACGAAGTATAGAGAAAGTATTGTAATCGTGCAAAAAAAATCGAGATTTTTACAGATCTCGACGTTTTACACCTCACTGATACGGAAAAACATAATTTTGCAATCTTGTCCGTATGTCTGTGTGTGTGTGTGTCTGTGTGTCCGTGTGTAAACACGATTACTTGAGTACCGTTACAGCTAGGTTGATGAAATTTCATATATAAGTATTTTATCAAAATCGTAGATCCGTATCAACTTTTGAGCGATTTTCGATAACCGGAAGTGGTACTTTTCCTACTTTGAATTTTTCAAAAGCCTATAACTTGAGTACTTTTTCAGATAGATACATGAAATTTCACATGTAAGTAAAAGATCTAATTCTCTACCTTCTGTTAAATTTTGAGTAATTTCCGTTGGCTGTAAGTAGTAATTTACGCTACTTTCGATTTCTCAAAAAACTAATGTAAATTTTAGAAGTACTAATAATATTGCGCACTATTATGCGCTTTTTTATTTGGCGTTCACTTGGTGTGCAATTAATTAGTCTACGGGATTTTATTCTATTTTTAAAACTTTAAGTATTTAAAATGGATTAAAAATCATGTCTATAGCCCGAGTTCCCATCCCCTGTTATTTTATATAAGAATATTCGAGAAAGTTTAGGGGAGATCACTCCCGGTTTATTTGTCTATAGGCAGGTGGGCTTTGTGCTTGTACCACGATGCTCTTTCCTCTGGAGGCGGATGGGCTTTGTGCTAGTACCTCGTTTCTCTTCTATCTAGATGTGGGTTTGACAATATGCTAGTACCTCGTTTCTCTCTTCTGTCTAGATGCGGGTGGGCTTTGTGCTAGTACGAAGATTCTCTTTTTTGTCTATAGGCAGGTGAGCTTTGTGCTAGTACCTCGTTTCTCTTTTCTGTCTAGAGACGGTTAGACTGTATGCTAGTACGAAGATTCTCTTTTTTACTTTCTCGTATATACGAAGTATAGAGAAAGTCTTGTAAATCTCGACGTTTTACATCTCCCTGATACGGAAAAACATAATGTTGCAATCATGTCCGTATGTCTGTGTGTCTGTGTGTGTGTGTGTCTGTCTGTCTGTGTGTAAACACGATAACATGAGTACCGTTACAACTAGGTTGATGAAATTTCATATATAAGTATTTTATCAAAATCGTAGATCCGTATCAACTTTTGAGCGATTTCCGGAAACCAGAAGTGGTACTTTTTCTACTTTTAATTTTTCAAAAGCCTATAACTTGAATACTAATTTAGATAGATAAATGAAATTTCACATGTAAGTAAAAGATCTAATTTTCTAACTTCTGTCAAATTTTGAGTAATTTCCGTTGACCGAAAGTACTAGTTTACGCTATTTCCGATTTCTCAAAAAACGCACGTAAATTTATAAAGTACTAATAATATTGCGCACTATTATGTACATTTTATTAGGCGTTCACTTAGTGTGCAATTCTTTTTTTTACGAGGTTTCATTCTATTATAAAAAGTTTAAGTTATTAAAAATGGATTACAAATATTGTCTATGTCCTGAGTTGCCATCCGTCGTAGTTTTATATTAGAATATTCGAGAAAGTTTATGGGAGATCACTCGCGGTTCATTGTCTATAGGCGGGTGGACTTTGTGCTAGTAACTTGTATACTTGTTTGGAAAAAATCATTTATAAATAGTTGCTGGTCAAAACGCTATGTGTTTTACTACTTTTTGAACAATATTAGTGTCAAAGCAAAGAAATAACTAAATAGCTAAGAATCTGAAACATTTAAAATAACACAATTAACACCAAATTTATAGGAGGATATAAAATCAGACAAAAACAAACACATATGTTGATGAAAATTGTTTTATTGAAAAGAAAGTATTTTAAGAAAAATGAAATAAAAACATTAAAACGAAAACTCGATTTCTTCAGGCTCTAAATGAGTTGGGGCCTATTTCTAGTTCGTTTATTTTCTCACAATGAATTTAATTTGCTATGAAACTAGTTAAATTACCATTTAGGAAACGATTTCATTTAAAATTTAAACAGACACAGTTCTTTGAGTTAACGCTAGTACTTAATTCTTATATATACGAGCTCAGACGTTACGTCATGTCTCTGACTCAACCTTTGGTTAACTGCCTAACATGTACACGTCAACTACACATCGCCGTTGACACAGTGAACACTCAAGGAACGTAATCATGATATAAATAATACAAGGGACGTAACAATCACTAACAACACAATGTAATATATATATATATATATATATATATATATATATATATATATATATATATATATATATATATATATATATATATATATATATATATATAATTAGCTAGTAAAAATAAACATTGGTTTCTAATCTAAGTGTTAGGCAATTTATCTACTCACCGTTCCGGTGTAAATCCTTCCCATTTACCTTGGTTAAAAAAACGTACCACCCAACATCTTTTTCTTATTTTATTGTTACACAATACTCTTTAATATCAATGGTTTCTTTTCAAAGTATTAAAAGAGTTATCTTCGCAACATCCCAGTGCAAATCCTTGCTATTTTTATTGGCTAAAAAGCAGTTTTTACGTCACTATTTTTTTTACGGTTACAACGTCGGTTTGTTTTATAAGTGGTAAAGTTTATCAACTCACCAATTCCAGTGTAAATCCTGCCGATTTTAATCTGCGAAAATGCGCCATCTGACCCCCCCCCCCCCTCCCCCCTCATCACACACCGTCACAAAATTACGGACGCCCTCTCCCCTACGAGTGTGAAGTCATTTATGGACGACCACTAACTGTGTTATCCTAAGTACTGTATTTACACATGTTGTATTCATATTACTTTATCCACAAAAGAAAAAATGTTAATAATTAGAAAGTTTAATGTACTTGGTAAAAAAAAGTTATGTGTAACAGTCCTGTTACAAAAATAGCAAATCAATAATAAGATAATAAACCAGCATGTTTCTTGATTTTAAAAAATCAAAGCAACTTAGTGTTCAGGCTCAATAAACTTCTTTGAAAATTTATGTCATTACCACCTGAATAGATGTAATCAAAACTTTTAAAATGGACAACTGAATCACAGAAGCAAAACAGCAAACACTCAAATGTATTCATTCTTTCGCTTAAAATAAATACATATCAAATAAAAAAAACGGTCGTTAAGGCAAATAACATAATCTTTCCCTAAAATCCATTTAACCATCGCACTTAAACTACAAAAGAAAAATTCGGCAAGAAATATTTTTAAAAAAAATTAGTTATCTTAAAGCTCTGTACCAACTTAACGGAAAAAATAAACTTAGTATTAAACCTTTAACCTCAATAAATTTTCGCCCTTAGCGCCAAAAGTAAAAAAAAAAGTAGAAATTAAATATAAACTTCAAATAACATAATATTAGTTACCTCACAAGTTAAAGACAGTTACAAATATGATAGACGGAAAAGACAAACAGTAATACAATTTTGGACTTAGCTCGACAGTGAAAACAGGCGCATCAGCCGATGCCCCGGCTGTCGTGTAAAGCGATGTGCCCCGGGCACTACGGTGCCTATATTCGTTTAAATGGGCGCCATACACTAGGGATACGGATCAGCAGTAGTGACTATTGGGCGCCCCGAGTTACCCAGCGACTACCTGAGTGCAAAGGATCCGATTATTGCACGTCCTTCCGAGTCAGGGGTACTACTTGATTCCACTGGTCAAACTGTATCAGAGGCGGATGTTGACGACGCCGGCGTATGGATGACACAAATGACGAGTATTCTACATTAGGGACACCGTGGGCCTCTACGTTCGATGATTTAAACCGCATCTGAGCGGTAATGTGGACCAACCTACGCCCCAGGAACAAAGATCCGAAAAAAATAGCAATGGCATTGTTTACATTTCCATGATCTCAGTTTTAGAAAACAAAGTCACGCGACAAAAATACACAATTGGCGTTAATGAAACCCTTACAAAACGTTTCGTCACCCTGGTATGTGGGACTACATCGCAACTATGAAACAAATTGCATATATGCCCAATGGGTCTATAACTTGGCCATCCAAAGTATAGTACATACAGAAGCAGTTAAAATGGATCTCAGAGAACTTATTATTAATTTTGCAAAATTAACATCATGAAAAAAACAGATCTAAATAAATCATGAGCAATTTTTTTAAATATGTGTTAGTGGCGTTTACTAAAGGTGTCACCTCATGACCCCTAAGAATTTCGCATAGTTTATTGAAAGTAAATTTTACATTGTTTTGTCATTGTGTCACGCTTAAGTGTTGTCATTAGATGCGGACCACACCTCTACCCCCACATTGTGACGCTACTGTGTTTGGTCACATTAAAAAAATGACCTTTAAGCCTGTAACACTTTTACAAAACTGAGGGGTTGTAGCATAATAATATAGTATCAGTACGTATAAAATACAAAATGTACAGAATGTTTATATTATTAATTAAAACCCTCCAACGTGAGTAGCAGTTGATTTCTTTGTTAAACTCCGCTGTAGCCTAAAGGCTAACGAAGGGGCCCTCTTATAATTTCTGCATAGGGGCCCAAAAATCCTAGCTACGCCACTGATCTAAGTGCTATGATATAAAAAAACAATTTGTCAAAATGGAACATTAATTAAGACAAGCAAACTTTAGTAGGGGAAATAATCACTCTCTTAATACAGATGTATATAAGTCTCCACATTTAATTGTAATAATGCAATTGTTAAATTCAACCAGATCAATATTACTTCTTTGTTCAATACAATAGCTTATTACTAATCTATTATGTTTTTAAATCTTTTTTTACAATTAGATTTAATAAATTTCTTTATAAATGCTAAAACATCAAAGCATTTATATGTATGTCTATGTGTATATACATATAACTTCCCCAGAACTAAACAAATTAATACTGGACAGACAAATCGATAGATGGATAAATGGATTTTAATTTTTTTTTAATTAGACGTTTTGTATTAGATCTATATATAGGTAAACCATCTTAAAAGAATGAAAGTAGGCTACATGTAAGATAGAAGTATTACTATTGTAAATCTGTATCAGTCCTCACAAGCTGATGATGAAAAATAACACTAAAGCGAACATGCAAGGCAAACTGACGCTGTAAATTACAAGTCTGAGGCAAAAAAAAAAGGATGGATGGATGGAGAGATGGATGGATACAAAGGCGTAGCGACCCTTCCCGGCGCCCGGGGACAAACTTTCGATTTGCACCACCCCCCCCCCCTCAAAGATTTCGATTTGCACCTCCCCCCCCCCTCAAACTTTCGATATGCACCCCCCTCAAGCTGTCAATTTTACTTTTTCCAACCCATTATGGCGCCCCCTAAGGTCGGCGCCCGGGGACATATGTCCCCCCCCCCCCCGCCCCTCGCTACGCTACTGGATGGATAGAAGGATGATCATGGTTTACGAAAGGATTCCACTTTGGTAACATCCCTTGTATGAATTGAGCGGGAGCCTTCTAACACAGTAAGGTTTGTCACTCTAATCGTAGTTAAGAAATTTTTATCATCATAGATCTGAAAGTAAATTGAACATGATCGTAAGCATTTTTACTTGCTCATATTCAAACTCTAGAGGAAGTATTGTAATCGTGCACAAAAATCACATCAAATTTTGACCGTTTCACCGTTTTACTTATTTTAATGTGTAGAGGGGATGGAAGCAGGCGTTGTTACGGAAATAGCAATATAAACAGAACGTAATATTTCAACGTTAAGAGTAGACAAGGGTACATAATAAAGTCCAAGTAGAGACTGAGCAGTTTTAACACAGTTTTAACCCAACGGGATCCGAACCTACCAATCCAAGCGGACTATATTCTGTACCTTTGTCTACTCTTGGCGTTGAAATATCACTTTGTGTTTGTATTGCTACTTATTTTAAGTGGATACAAATTCTAAATCCAGATTTACCAAAATCTCAGTGTTATAGGCATCACCGAGTAATTTTGTTAGTATAACTGTGTCTGTAAACACGACAACTTGAGTAGGCCTACCTTTTAGCTATGTTAATGAAATTTGAAATATAGATATGATGACACATTTTAGCGCAATTTCCATACTGGGGGATTGCGATTATTAACTCGTCATTTCTGGATGGATGGATGGATGGATGGATGGATGGATGTGTGTCCGCAGCGTGTCCGCAGCTTTAAGTCGTATCTCCTCCTCAACGAAGCAATATCGAGGACTAGTTCCAAAAGCAAATTTGTTAAGCAAGTTCCGAGGATGATAGTGGGCCAAAAAAATTCCCGGAATTCCTTCCTAGATTTCACGGAAAAGCCAAAAAACCTCGAAAAAATGCAGTTTTTGGACCATATCTCGGCAACCAGACCACTTAGCGACTTGAAACATTTACCAATCGATTCCTGCCATAATTTAGAACAATATTGCCGAAGAAAGTTTTCAAAAATATCCTTTCGTTCGGTCACAAAAAAATTAATTTCTTCTAATTTGTATTGGCTAAGATTACTAAGAATATACAAATATTTCTACCACCCTCATCCCTTCGCGTCTCACCACTAGAAGAAGCGAAGCGGTGAAGTTCCAAACCAAGCACACCGGCTGAGGCAGTCGCTAGTGAGAGGTAACGTCTACTTGTTTAAACTGAGCATCGTGTAGGCCTACCGTTGATATAGGTTATTCCTGCCATAATTTAGAACAATATTGCCGAAGAAAGTTTTCAAAAATATCCTTTCGTTCGGTCACAAAAAATTTAAAATTGTTATGGATAACATAAGGAAATTGCGCTTAAATTGTCAATAGACTTTTTATTAACTTGTTTTATAAACTTCTGAACGATTTCATGTAACCAAAAGTGATACTTAACTAAACTCCCGGTATCTGAAAAATCAATAACTTGAGTACCATTTAAGTTAGGTTGACGAGATTTCACATGTACGTAACACATTGTAAGCGCATGCTTCTCTCAAAGTATGGGTAACTGAAAATTGCATTTACTATTTTAGTGTGAAGACTATAACTCGAGCACTATTCCCTGTAGTTGAACAAAATTTTCGTAATAAGTACTGGATCTTATATTTGTATTTCTTTCAACTATTTAGTGCCCTAAAATAAGTTGTACTTTACTCTATTTCTGTGTTCTACAATACTGATAAAGTGAGTACCGTTATGTGGACGAAATTTTTTAAACGTAGATACATATCTTATTCCTTTGATTCTATCAAATTTAAAATGATTTCTGGAGATAGAAAGTATTACTTTACGCTATTTCTGATTTCTAAAAATTCAAATAGACTAAATTCTTGACAACTTTTCACGTATGTTAAGACCCGATGTCAATGCATTTCTGCATAAAATTGACTTAATTAGATGTTTAATTTTTTTAAGAATAAAGTATAATTTCGATATAAAAAACTAATAGTTAACTCTATTATGCAAATTTTTTTACGTTTATTTGGTACGCTTTTCTCTTTTCTACTCTCTATTCTATTTTTTAAAATGCAAGTATTAAAAATTCAATTTAAAAAAAACATTTCTATATTCGGATTGCCATATCCCTAACGAGAAAATTTAGGGAAGACTACTCCCGCTTTATTTATTTTATAAGAAGTTATTTTCTATCAACTTCAGTTCCCTTTAAAATTCTTACAAAAACGAATTAAGAACTTTAAAAATGTAGGTCCTGGATGCCGGTCCGCCAAAACATGAAAAATGTATGTAAGAACGCTAAATTTAAATTGTTGAAGAAATAATAACTTACCTTTACAACCCCATCCGATAAGAATTCAGTCTCCATAATAATATTTAGATCTGTGAATGTCTTATTAATTGACAACAATTCAGCTCCGTCGCTTCCAGTGCAACATGTTTGGAATGTCCCCCCTTTGTGTGCTTCAATGGCAAAAACACTGGTTCCCAGTAGAGTATTAGAGATGTAAAACCAGTACCTGAAAATAGTGAAATGTCTTCACAATTATGCTTTTATGCACTAATGCACTAAAAGGTAGAAAATAAATTATAGACTACTATTTAAATTACTATAAAGAAAAGTGTGGGTCTCTTCCTAAACATTAGTAAAAGTATTCAATAAATACTAAAGTGATCTACGCTTTTCTTTATAGTTATTTAAATAGTAGTCTATAATTTATTTTCTACTTTTTAGTGCATTAGTACATAAAAGCTTGTTATTAAAACGTTTTTTATGAATTTTTTTTTACTTCAACTGTCTTTGATTAAAGATAATTAGTAAACAGTACGTTCAGTGTATAAAATAAATAAAAGGCAGTATTTGAAATACCTACCACATTTCACTTGATGAATCCACGCTAATGATGTAATTATTTTTCCCCAACATCAATACAAAGTAATAAAAAGTAATTTTCCTCCGATGTGATGATTTTTATAAAGGGAAGTATTGTAATCGTGCACAAAAATCACTTGAAATTTTGACAGCTTCCACCGTTTTACTTCTCAGTAATTCATTATACACGGAGTATAGGGGACTTATTTTAATCGGGCAAAAATTCTAAATCCACATTTACTAAAATTTCGTCGTTTTACGCGTAATCGAGTCGGAATAACTGGACTTTGCAATTCTATTCGTGTGTGTGTGTGTGGATGTGTGTCTGTAAACACTATAACTTGAATAGCATTGTAGCTAGTTTAGTGAAATTTTATATATATATATTATATCAAATTTGTAGATCCGTATAAGCTTTTCAGCGGTTTCCGGTAATCGGAAAAGAAACATTTTCTACTTTTAATTTTTCAAAAGCCTATACCTTGAGTACTAATTCAGATAAATAAATGAAATTTCACATGTAAGTAAAAGATCTAATTAGCTACCTTTATTCAAACTATGAGTAACTTCCGTTGACTGGAAGTAGTATTTTTTGCTATTTCCGATTTCTTGAAAAACGCATGTGAATTTATAAAGTACTAATTATATTCCGCACTATTATACACATCTTTTTTGGCGTTCACTTGGTGCGCAATTCTTTTATCCATGAGATTCTATTCTATTTTTAAAAGTTTAGGTAATTAAAAATGGATTAAATATTATGTCTATATCCTGAGGTGCCATCCACTGTAGTGTTATATAAAAATATTCGAGAGAGTTTAGTGGAGATCACTCCCGGTTTATTGTGAAAGGTGATACATTTTTTTAAAATTTGTGTTTGATTGACATGCCGACAATTATCACTCTACGTTAGAAAAATAAAAATTGTTTTATTATACCTTTAATATTAATTTTTTAAATCATGAATTTAGACGATGAGTACTTTAGACTTTGCAATCCTCGGTTCGCCCGTCCGCAGTCAGCAACAAACATACAGAGTTGAACTTTATATATATATTTTATATATATATATATATATATATATATATATATATATATATATATATATATATATATATATATATATATATATATATATATATATATATATATATATATATGTACATACCTTGTTGCATTCTTCGATACAACAACTTCATGTCGAATCCAGTCTCCGTCCTTAAGACTTCTACGTAGAGAAACTCTATCTCCCTTACCAACATTCTATAATTGAAATCTTAGATTACATTACTGACATTGTTTTATTAAAGGGTAGTTTAGTGCGGAATTACTGAATTAGAAAAAAATAACCAAACCATGGACATATACATGTAATTTTACAGGAAGTTACTAAGAATTTCGTAAAAAGATCGCATTTTAAATGAGACACTACGGTATGAGAACCAAAGGACGAAGGTCAGCATGCTGCTCATGCTTCACTTTTTCATTTGGATTATTTCTAATCTTGCCAAACGTTGCGTCATCACAAGTTTCAACATTCAAATTGGGTTAGAACTACTAAGGATTTCATTTTGGTGAAAATATTTGAATATCTATTATAAATGGATCTACGACAGCACCCCCACTCCCCCTCCTACCCCTTCCCTGTGAACTCCCCCCCCCCCCCCCACGGACATCCCCCCCTGCCGGAGTCACTTCATCCCTGTCAATTACCCCAGTCAATTACCCCCGGGTCATTACCCCCTCACACATGCGGAAGAACCCTAACCTCAAGCCCCAACTATAAACCTATTACTAACACAAACATCAATCCTAACCCCACTCTAACGCCTACATCCAACCCAAACCTAACCCTAGCCGTAACCCTATCTCTAGCTTTCAATAACTGAGTGGGAGGTATTTGACAGGGAGAAATTACTCCGAGGTTGGGGGGGGGGGTGAATTGTCAGTGAGAAATGTCAGTGGGACGGGCAATTGACGAAAGGGGGGGGGGGTAATATCTTTTATTCAAGACTTATATTTAATTATTTTCTAGGTGGCTTCTAAATCGCGAATTCTTTAAATAAAATGCTTTTACAAGCTTTTATTTAACTTCATTCCCCTGTCTATCTGTTGTCATAGATCGTCACGATATTTCGGGATTTTCTAGCAAGCAGATTCTTTTCAAAGTTGGCACGTAAGTCAAAACTTGAAGACAATGTGACTAGTTCACCAAACATCCTCTCACTGCCGTCATCAAAACATGCATTATGTTTGGATGAATTTAGAATACTATACATCCGTCGAACCGTCTGTCCATCCATCTGTCCGTCCGTACGTCAGTCCGTACATTCGTCCGCCAGTCCGTGCGTCAGTCCGTCTGCACGTCCTTCTATCCATTCATCCATTCATCCAGCCATCCTCAATTCTCTTTTTTAGAAAAACTAACTTACTAATACTGCCGTTCTGTTAATTAGAACACTACCAAAGACTTTGATGAAACCAACTTGTTCATATGGAAATTCATACGTATAATCGGTGAAAAACCTATGGTTCACATACACCTGTGATTTTAAAAATATATTAATTTTCTCCAATAAGATGGAAAAATAATTAACTTTTTCGCTAATAGATAAAAGTGTATACCAACTTGATATTTTGACGCAGTAACTCTGATTCTTAAGTTGAAATTGGTTCCTCTTGTGAAGGGCATTCCTCCTCTTGTTTGTTCCTTGCCCCAGCCTGTTTCTAATCTGTGTGTTCTAACGACAACTTGAGCATTGAAACGAACACTGAAGTGAAATGCTTTAATTGGGTAACAGGTAGATTCTGGACAAAGTTCAACTGCAAACCTAAGCATTGATTAAAAAAAAAAGATGAACGTATAGTAAATGTATGCTTTTTTTAAAAATAAACCGAGAGTGATCTCCCCTAAACTTTCTCGAATTTTCTTAAATAAAACAACAGGGGATGGGAACTCGGGCTATAGACATGGTTTTTAATCCATTTTAAAGTTTTTAAAATAGAATAAAATCCTGTAGAAAAAAGAATTGCACACCAAGTGAATGCCAAAAAAAAAATGTGCATAATAGTGCGCAATATTATTAGTACTTTATAAATTTACATTCGCTTTTTGAGAAATCGGAAATAGCGTAAATTACTACTTCTGGTCAACGGAAATTACTCAAAATTTGACAGAGGGTAGAGAATTAGATCTTTTGCTTACATGTGATCTACGTGTGTGTGTGTGTGTGTGTGTGTGTGTCTGTCTGTCTGTCTGAAAACACGATAACTTGAGTACCGTTACCGCTATTTTCCGATTACTCAAAAAAGTAATGTAAATTTATAAAGTAATTAATAATATTGCAAACTATTATGCACAATTTATAAGGCGTTCACTTAGTGTGCAATTCTTTTTTCTACGAGATTTTATTCTATTTTAAAAACCTTAAGTATTTAAAAAGGATAAAAAATCATGTATATAGCCCTAGTTCCCAACCCCTGTTAATTTATATAAGAATATTCGAGAAAGTTTAGGGGAGATCACTCCCGGTTTTTAGCACAATTACAAGACTTTCTCTATACTTCGTTATATATATATATATATATACATATATATATATATATATATATATATATATATATATATATATATATATATATATATATATATATATATACATATATATATATATATATTTATATATATATAAACATGGTTCCATGACAAATGATCTCAAGACAAATGATCTCAGACAAATGATCTCAGGCAAATCATCTCAGACAAATGATCTCAGACAAAATATCTCAGACAAAATATCTCAGACAAAATATCTCAGACAAAATATCTCAGACAAAATATCTCAGACAAAATATCTCAGACAAAATATCTCAGACAAAATATCACAGACAAAATATCTCAGACAAAATATCTCAGACAAAATATCTCAGACAAAATATCTCAGACAAAATATCTCAGACAAAATATCTCAGACAAAATATCTCAGACAAAATATCTCAGACAAAATATCTCAGA